TTTTTATGAACTCTAAGAATACCTATGTATAAAAATAGGGTTCCAATTTGAAAAAAAATCCACCTCGATATGGCCATATTATGGTCAGCTATAAAAAAAAATAATTTAGCCAAAATGTTTCCCCTAAAAAACTATAAAACTTTTGTCTGATGCTTTTTTTTATAAAATGCATATTTTTGGCGATATTTAACTGTAAAACTTTCATTTAAACGCCCGCTATAATCATCAACATACGTTCTTTTATCACAAAACACTAAATTATAATACCAACTTACTAGAAATCATCGTTCAGATTTGGTAACTAGAAACAACGTAACGACTTTGTTATTGAATAGAGTTTCAAAAATTATCGTTATAAAAGTCGTTGGTTGAACTGTCGTTAGCTTAACGATGTCGTCCATAAACGATAAATTACTGAATAGGGCCCTGTTACACGTCTCTGTTGTCTCTGGGCTGACATATTTATAGCAACATAACCTAATTTATTTTCAAAGCCAGATTTACACCATCTAATAATATTTAAATTTAGCTTTAACTTTAAATTTATTAACGATTATCCCTGTATTTGATCACATATTGGGTCCTATGATTGAACGTTTACGTTATCCGTAACGTACATGTTAGGCCGAATTTTAAAAGTAACGAGGCAAGTTCGTATGATGGAAACCTGTTAAATTAGAACATAACAGGCGGAAAATAAACAGTGTTATGAAAGACTTTACATCATACGAATTTATCTCTTTACTGTTAAAACTCGGCCTAACATGTACCTACGTTACGGATAACGTAAACGTTCAATCATAGCACCCATTATATTAAAGTGAAATTTAAAGGGGTAACGGCCAATTTCATAATCGATAGCTAAAGTGGCCTTTAATGAAAGGAGACTTTAAGCTATTTAAACTATATGGTTAAAAGATACTTTAAAATTAAAGTGTCCTTTAAATTGATTATGAAATTGGCCGTTAATCAGTAAAATTATTGATTTCTTTGTCATTATTTTTGAAAACATATTTTTTTATGGGTGTAAAACGGGTTTGAATTTAGTGATAGCAGCGCGCTAAGCGCTTACGGTTCAACTACCAACAAGGAAACAAGTCCCGCCATTTATTCAAACATTCTCTTTTTATTTTTCTATGAGTCAACTTTTTATTGGTCCCAGACAACGGTAGTAAATTTCTGTGATCTTGGGCAAAAACTAACTGTCAATAGTGTCAATTAATTGAAAATTGAAATTAAATAGGAAGTGACTAATCATCCGGGAGTCCCGGATAAAGAGTTCCGTCACTAATTGTCCGAGACCGCCTGACTAACGGTACCGGTACATAACCTCTGCATGACCTAATTAGCAGCTATTCATTTCTTCAACTCACGGGGGTTTATATCATATGCACAATACGTAAACACGTTTCTGCGCATACTCCTCCGCGCTTGGGTGCTCTGAAGTCCGTTTTACAATAGCAAAATTGTATTAAAATGTAAAGCACATTGATTAATTTAATAATATCTCGTTCAGTAACACACAAAAAGTGTTGTTTCAAAAATTTTAATTCATATATTACAACAAACTAAAAAAAACATACCTTCACTTAGTTATTTGTACTATGTGAAGATGGCTTTCTGTCCGCTGCATGACTGCTGGCTGCCCGCTATAGCGGGCCCCGCGCGCGCTGTCAACAAATAACATCAAAATCAAACAAATGTGTGGTTATGTTATGATTTGGTTGTCGACGAAAACATGTGAGTGGAACTACTTTTATTTTTTTAGATATAAGTTATTTAGGATTATTTAAAATCAAGTAAAGGTATTTTGATGCTTTAACATGTCTTTACCAGACAGAATTCATTATAAACGCATAATTTCTAATTGTTATAGTACATTTTATAATGCCCATTCCAAACGTAAATTTTAAGAACAAATATTTTTAAATTTCCTTCTGATATTGATCAAAGAACGGAATGGTGTCGTATTTTAAACATTCCACTTACAACCCCAATCATTATACATTATGTGAAAATTATATTTTGATACAAAATTGTTTACAAACACAAATCGTTCAAGACTGCTAAAAGATTTGCTTTACCTTGCTTTAGCATCCTCAAAACCAGATACACCAAAGATAGTAGTACTTAGTAATATTGTTATCACACCTCCAAACAGAGTCCTGTGTGGATAAAGTTCATTTTAATAATATATACAAAATTAATAAATGAAGCAGAATTTGAGTCAGGCCACTAGTTATGTTGCAGGGTTTATTAAGAAACTTAATAGTTTTGACTGCAAAGAGTGTAAAGTTAATTTACAGACATGTTAGAAGACCATCGATACTTTTACTTATTTTAAAGAAAATTATGATAAAAGACGTTTTATTTATGTACAAAGAAATGTTATTGAATTTCTTTCAAAAATTCTTGAAATAGTTTCACAACTTTTGGGTCATATTGACAACATAATTCAAATAATTAAACTTTTTTGCCAGACCATGTTGATTTTAAATGGTTTACATCAGAGGCGACTCGTGGCCTAGTCTATGAGGAGACTACTTTTAAAAGGCACACCCTATATACTTAATATGTCTATAAGAATTCAAAAAGCAGAAATATTACATTGTATTCTAATAGAAATATATATATTTGTATAAAGTATATAGGATGAGCCAGCTTCCTCACAGACTAGGCCACAAGCCGTCCCTGGTTTACATATAAAGAACATAAAACAGACGTCTTTTCTCATTTAGTTGAAACTTGTCTACTATTAATAATAAGAAAGTATTATAATGATAGTATGAGGGCTGCTGCAATGTCTAAAAGACAAACAAAATGATTTGAAGTTACTGCATTTAATTTTTTTCTGTTTCAGTTTATATGGATGGTTGCTTTTATCTGATTTCCTAAGATTCAAGAAGAATTTGTTGTTTTGTTTTTTGTTTATTTTAAAAATTTATTTACTTAGGCATTAGTTTTCATATCAAGTAAATTAAATTTGTTAGGCAATTTCTGATTTTTGTTAGCCAAAGATAGTTAACGTACCGAAATAGTAATGTAATGTTTGTGATATTAGAGTAACTTTCTTAAATAATCATTTATAAGACGTCCGGGAGCGCCATAGTAAATAATAATAATAATAATAATAATAATAATAGACATTCTTGCTTCGCATAAGCTCGCTTGTATGGGAGTGAAGTATATGAAAAATATTTTTTTGTATTGCCATCTCTTTGATATATTTTTTATTTATTTTTCTTGGGAATTTTTAGTAAATATAATTATATAAAACTTTGTATGATATTTATTTTATCCCTCATAATTATTTGTCATAGAATTTTACATTTTTATTGGGCATTTCATAATTGTTACAAACAGCTAATAAAACAGGAAAATTTTAATTATAATTAAGAGGAAAATTTACTTAAGCAATTATCTTTTTCTAAACAATACGAAATAGAGCCACAAATATTTCTATAGTTTAATTTTACTTTTTAGTGAATGAAAAATATATACCTTCAGGTAAAAGTGAAATGTCTGTTTTTCTGGAGCCACTATTCCGAAATTTGATTTAATTATTTTCTCAATTTTTGAAATCTTTATAAAAAGAAGATTTTGCGATTTATTGCCATCAAAATTTGATTAAATTTTGAAAAAGTGGCTCCAGAGGAACATATTTTAGCTACACGTACATGTTTTTTATTTCACTAAAAAATTAAAAAAATTACTATCAAAATTTTGTATGGCTATATTTCGTATTAGTTAGAAAATAATTGCAAAAGTAAATTCTCCTTTAAAAAAACCCGCCAATTTTCAAATTAAATATAAAATTACGGGTAACTGCATTACCGACAGAGTAAGAGTTGATGGTAATACTGCTGGTAACTACATTACCGACAGAGTAAGATTAGTTCTACTCCTCCACCCCACAGGTCGTTGCAAGCAAACATGTTGCCAAATTTCTACAAAGAAACGGCAACTCTTAATAATCCTTCCTCCATGCTTCAACTGTTTCAAGTTTTATTAATACCACGATTCATTGTGCGGCAGAGAAAATTCAATTTAGTATACCATTAACGATGGATATTATGGAATTAAAGGTAGGAAAAAGGTTTTCCACTTATGAGGAATTAAGAAATTATTTCCGAAAATATGAAGAAACAACTTATACACAAATGTACTGTTATGATAGTAAGAAACTTAGCTGTCCCTCTATATTGAAAAAGTGCAAAGCTAAAATTACGGCAGCCAACAAAAGTTTACTTTATTATTTTATGGAGTATCGATGTGTTAGGGATGGGCAAAACTGCTATTTTTAAATAACAGTTATAACAGTAACTGCTTTTTCTAAAAAGCAGCTTTCAAATAGCTGCTTTTTAATAGCAGTTTATTAAATCATCGCAACATGTAGTTCGACTACTCTGCTTAAGTGTTTACCGGTATTTCATTATTTACTAGTCGATCGGTGATCGCGTTCAAATCTGTTAAGCTGTCTTATAATGTCGAGTTAAATATCAACCTATGCCGGTGGTTCCCCAAATTGTCAGAATAAATCGACGACAACGGGAATGGTAACAATTAAAAAATTAGTCTTTGTATGCCATCACGTCCTCTCTGAGGTAAGTTTTGTGTTGTGAGTTATTTTCTTAAAACAAATTTATTTGCTGAAAATATTTGTAAGAGGGCACAGCAATTTTGGTCTAACCATAACTGTTATTGTACAGAAAAACATAAACATCCGTAGTGCACGCATAAAATACGACATTCGCATCAGCAACTTGCCATTGTCATCGTCGCATCACGCGCACCATGCACTCACAACATAGTCACAAAGATCGGCGTATCTCAAATCGAAATATTAGTGAAAATGGTAAACTGCTATTTAAGAAGCAGCGATTTGTAATAGCCGATAGCAGTTGAAAGCTGCTTAGTTCAAATAACAGTTGTCAAATAGCAGTTTACTAAAAAGCAACCCATCTCTACGATGTGTACATGGTGGCAAATATCAATTTAAAGGAGATCATAAAAGAAAATCAAGGTAAGCCGTGATTCTAAGTAAGTAGATGATGTTTAAATTTAATTACAAATTTTGTTTTAGTACGTTAAGGCGTAAATGTCCTTTCCGAATAAAGATTTCTTTGTCAGAAGATGGACAGTTTCTGGAAATTCAAAAGGTCGATTTAACACATACTCATACAGTTACTGAAGAACTGTATAAAGCATTACCTAAACAAAGAGCACTTGCTGAGAATGAAAAAAATGAAGTGAAACACTTGCTCGAATTACGCTGCAATAAGAAATTAGTAAAGAATTTTATTAAAACAAAAACTGGTAAAACATTAACATTGAAAGACATAAGCAATATTAACACCAGAATAAAGAAATCGTTGAATTTATCTGAACTGGAAGAAGCTATACAACATATCAAAAGTCAGAAAAATTCTATCGTAGAAGTGGTGGTGAATAATGATAATACATTAGAAGGAATTTATTATCAAAGTATAGAAATGCATAATTCTTTTCAAACTTACCCAGAATTATTACTGTGTGATGCTACATACAAATTAAATAATCTTAGAATGCCACTATACATTTTTCTTATTATTAATGGAAATGGGCAAGGGGAAGTAGCTGCAACATTTTTACTTGCAAATGAAAATGCTGATAACATAAAAGGAATGATGCAGATTTTCAAAAGACATAATTTATGTTGGTCTAATGTTGTTACAATTTTTACTGACAAAGACTTCAAAGAAAGAAAAGCATTTGAGAAAGAATTTCCAAGGGCAAAATTATTATTATGCTTGTTTCATACTCTTAAAACTTTCCGTACAACAATTACTTGTGAAAAAATGTGCATTAATTCTGCCCAAAGGGCTAATTATTTGACAGTACTTCAAGACATTGCATTTTCTGAGAATGAAAGTGTCTACAAACAAAATTATGCAAAATTAATTGGGTTAGATTGTGTGAAGGTAACAAAGTATTTTAATGATAACTGGCATAATATACGAAGTGAATGGGTAAAAGGGTTGTTAAAAAATTCTGTTACAACATTTCAACGACAAACCATTTGGAATCTCTGAACCAAAAAATTAAACAAGTTGTTTTAAAGAATAGTTCTCTTGTGTCATTTTACAAAGATCTTTTAATTTTATTTGATTCTATGCAAGATGAAAATAGAATTAAGGCATATAATATGGCCAACAAGGTGCCAGTTCATCACTACCCAAAACCTTCTGTTGAAGATAGTTACATAAACTTTTTAACACCCTATGCAACTTCATTTGTTTTGAGAAATATTGAAAAGGCAAAAAAGATGACAAAAATTAATGAAGATATAAATTTCACAATACATGACTGCAGTTGTTCTTTTCGCATTAACATGAAACTGCCATGTAAGCATATCTTTTATGCTCGCTTTGTTAATAATGAACAGTTGTTTGATGAGAATTTAGTTAATGTCAAATTTACTAGAAGATATTATATAGAGAATCAAATACGTTCAACTCAACAGTCATCTTTTAGCGAAACAACCAATACTTCAGAAATAGAAATACACCAGATAGTAACTTCACAAAAGCATATATTATCTGGCCATGAAAAATACAAGAAAACAATGAAAGTAGGTGAAGAAATTGCAAGTTTTCTTTCAGAATATGGCACCAATGATTTCAATGACGTATTTGAACAGTTCAAGCTTTTTCGTACATATGTACAGAATAGAAAAAAAATCTTAGTTATTGAAAATGTAAGTGATACTGATATGAATGAGTCATCACGTGAGGCAACTGAAAGTTCTGTTGCACAAAGCTCCAAAATTTTAGATACTGGAAATTTTGTTGCATCTTATAAGATGGATGTAGATTCAATAGGCCTAGATAAAGGTATTTATGTAGAACACAACTATTGTAAAGAGTCATGCCAAAATTTAGAAGAAAAAGAAGAGCCATTAATGGAATTGAAAAATATAAACGTAAACGCGCTTAAAATGAAAAGAATTGGTCGACCAAAAGGAGCTGATACCACAGTCATAGGAATGAAAAGGAAAAGAAACAAAAAAATAATAGAATCAGAATAGCTATGTACTTTAGTACCTTTGGTACTTTTTATTGTATATGTATTTTGTACATACCTACCCTGTTTTTATTTGAATATATTGCATAATATAAGTACAGATATTGTTTTGGTCATAAAATAATCTACATTGTCAAAACAGTTTATTATTAAAACAAAAAATGTCATTTATTGAACTTATATCCAAAAGTCCACCACAGAGTAGCACATTCCTCCTTTTTTGACAATTTGTTAATGTCCGGCTGTTTCCAATGTAGGAAAAATTGTTAAATTATTTTCCCAAATGTTTGGCGATGTCCTTCTTTTTTGTCTTTGCTTGGCTGAGGCCTTTTTTTGTTAGAAGCTCGGTAAAAGGACTTTTTTTTGTTTTTTTTTTTAGAAGCTAAAAATTTTATATTCCTGTGTAAATTCATAGTAAAGAAACTATTTTTGTGAAAAATCAGGCTTTTTTTGTACAATTGTCCTACTTTTACACATTGTCCTTATGGCAACCCTAATTATTGTACAATTATTTCCTAAATTTAATTTAAATAATACTATAAATAAAAAACAATCAGTGTTAGGAAAAAAACTAAACTAATGTATCTAATAAATTGATACTTATATTGTTTGAAATTAAATTAAATCTGCTTTTTATTCATTTATATCTTATATGGTTTGATGAGAAGTTTATAATGAGGTTAAGAAGACAGATTTGGAGCTCGTTTTTATTAACTCGAGATTTAAAACTTTCAAGTTTATAATTCCTAGCGAGTTGCTCAAAATCTATTTGTGTTAAAATTTTAAATAATACATTTAGGTTATGTCCTAAGCCCTGTCAATTTCGGAAAATGGTTTCGGACAATTAGGGCCCTATTCAGTAATTTATCGTTTATGAACGACATCGTTAAGCTAACGACAGTTCAACCAACGACTTTTATAACGATAATTTTTGAAACAATAGAGTGTTTTAGCAAATGTACGTAAGATTTCCGCTAACGTTACGTTAAACTTAGATTGTGACCTTTTTCATAAACATTGAACAGAGTAGATTACAGTCTATCCCTAAGGTAACGTTAGCGGATGGTTAGCGGCTGTTTGCTAAAACTCCCTTCTATTCAATAACAAAGTCGTTACGTTGTTTCTAGTTACCAAATCTGAACGATGATTTCTAGTAAGTTGGTATTATAATTTAGTGTTTTGTGATAAAAGAACGTATGTTGATGATTATACCGGGTGTTTAAATTAAAGTTTTACAGTTAAATATCGACAAAAATATGAATTTTATAAAAAAAAAGTATCAGACAAAAGTTTTATAGTTTTTTAGTTTTTTAGGGGAAACATTTTGGCCAAATTATTTTTTTTATAGCTGACCATAATATGGCCATATCGAGGTGGATTTTTTTTCATATTGGAACCCTCTATTTTTTTACATAGGTATTCTTAGAGTTCATAAAAAAATAAGAAACTTCTAAATAAAACATTTTTTTATTGGATTTCTACTTATTGAGTAACACCCAAAATAAAACTATAAAACTTTGTTTTTTTTTTTATAAAAGGCGGTATTTAACTGTAACCCTTTAATTTGAACACCCGGTATAGTTGACATTTTTTTAGGAACGTAAAATAAAAATTCAACCAGTAGATATATTCATTTGTTTTTCAGAATATATTAATTATTGTTCTTAACCTACAACACGATCAGGGGGTCGATTCTCGATTCGTAGGAATTCTGTTTCTCGCGGGCCATTTTTGCTGGTCGTATTGTATGTAGGGCTTATTAAAATGAGTATGGATATATTAAAAAAAACTGAGAACTATTCCAAAAGAATACAAAAAACAACTCGAGAACAGTACAAGATGTATTTTTTATTGGATTTGAAAGACAAACCAAATTTCTGTAGGTTACGGAGAAGTATAGGTACTTCCATAGGTTTTGTTACTGTTTCGCAGTGCTACTTTAGGAACAGCACTGTTAATAAGAATCCAATAGTAAATGGTTGAATGGGCAATCCTAACTTTGAATCCGATTTATTTTTAAAATAATTAAATAAATTAGAAAAAAATTCCTTACAAATTTTACTTGCTGTATTAGGTATATGGCAATTTAGTTGTAAAATTTGTAAAAAAGTGTTTTTATTATTTAGAACATATCCTGATTCATAATAAAAAATGAGAGGGAATGCAAAAATCACTATAACGACACTTCATATTATTAACGACAGCTCTTTGGCTATCGTTGATGAACGACAATTTTACAACCATATTTGTCTATTTTCAACGACAATCGTTGTCTACTGAATAAGAAAAGTCGTCTGTGAACGATTATCGTCTATTAACGACGTCGTTCAGAGTTACTGAATAGGCCCCTTAGTAATGGAGCTCTTTATCCGGTACTCCCGGATGAATAGTCACTTCCAATTAAATATGGCTGTTAACTTTGTTGATGTTATAGGTTATCAGAAATATAAATATAAGTATTTTATATATTTTTGTTTGAAAATCGACTTTTTGAGAATAACTTTAATCTTTTTGAAATGGATATTGGGGTCCGGTAAAGGATCCTGAGGTGCGAAATTCACAAAAATTTTTTAAACACTCAAAAGTAACTAGTTTCTATAGTAAATTTTCGAAAAAAAATTTATGGATGAAGCAGTACTTTTCGAAAAAAATTGAATTAAAAATCCCAATTTTACAGGTTATAATCACAAAACAATTACTCTAAATGACAGTTTCTGACGTTTCTGTCTTAAAAATAACAAACGTTGCCAAGTTGTTAATAAAATTATAAGTTTAAGGATTATTTAAATTTATAATCATAAATTTTTCGTACGGTAATAATGCCTAGACAACTTTTTTAAATTTTCTTTTACTCAAAACGACTTCCCGGAGGGTGGCGGCTTCGCCGCCACCAAAAAATTTTAACCCATACCTGGCTACGCCTACCGGCATAGACTCCAACGGCCTGGACACAGCTCAAATTTAAATGAAAAGGCTCACATAACACATTATAATCAAAAATCATACATTTTTCGTTTGCTTCAAAAAGATAAGCACGGTAATAATCGTATCTAAAATGAAAAAATTAATATATCAACCAAATTAATTTTAAAACTGCAGATCAAAAAAAACTACATACAAAATTAAAATTAATTAAATCACTTAACATGTACCTAATACCTAGACAACTTTTTTTAAATTTTCTTTCACCCAAAACAAAACAACGACTTCCCGTAGCGTGGCGGCTTCGCCGCTACCAAAAAAATTCAACCCATACCTGGCTACGCCTACCGGCATAGACTCCAACGGCCTGGACACAGCTCAAATTGAAATGTCTCAAATAACACATTTTATTTTCACCTATAACTTATTTTCTTCTCATTCAAACAGAAATCGTAAACTTGGAAATTATCAGTGATAAAAATCAATATAGTATGGCAACGTTGCAAACTCGAGGACCCTATGTGTCAAGAACTGACAATTTCATGGAATCACCACAGAACACTTACTCTTAGAACGGTATCTCCCATGTTAAAAAAGGATGATAGAGTTTTTAGCGGCACCTGGTGGACGTGGTTGATTTTTTTTTTTTTTCAGATAACTTACTAAATGATCAATTAGATATTAATAATTCACCCTTATTAAACCTCTTTCCCAGTTTTCTGTGAGATAATCCCGGTAATGGGCTATCTTATTGTTATTTGATGGATATTATAATTACCTAAGTACCCTTATTTACTTTAAATAGTTAGTTTATTTTGTAATGTTATTGATGTTTTCTTAAGTACTTTGTTTTGTTAAATTATTTTGTATATATATTGGATACCGAATTGTAAATAGTCACATTTGAAAAAGAAGTTGTACTTCGAAACATATGTCATGTTAGTGTTTGTTTAAAAATTTTTATTTTTAAAATAAAAGTGTGAAAATCTACCAAATTTGGTTTTACTCTTTCAAAATTAAATGGATTTTCATCAAGTAAAGGCCGAAACAATAAATAATAATTTATTATCTGAATAATCTTTTATTTTCTTATCATTCATTTATTATCTCAATAATTATTCGAACAATCACCAAGTACAAAGGGATTAAGACACGCAATGTACTTATTACTGTTTTGTCTATTTCATTTTTAAGGCATAGTACCTAGGAGTATGAAATATGGTCACGAAGGGATAAAACGCGCGACGTGACCCCTGCCTAGTTACTACCCTTATGGCGTAAAGGGATAAAACACGCGATACGCCCCACATTACTACTAGTATTGAGCGTGCAATGAGTATGAAGGGATTAAACGCGCGACATACTCGCCCTACCTACTAGAGCTTGACCCCGAAGGTCGAAAACAGAGCCGTGCAATGAACAAAAGGGATTAAACGCGCAATTGTTCGCTCCAGATATACATTTCTACTAGTATTGAGCGTGCAATGAGTATGAAGGGATTAAACGCGCGACATACTCGCCCTACCTACTAGAGCTTGACCCCGAAGGTCGAAAACAGAGCCGTGCAATGAACAAAAGGGATTAAACGCGCAATTGTTCGCTCCAGATATCATTTTTATGTGCGCACGAATAATTATTAAATCAGTATTCAAACAGTTATTTTTATAATCTAATCAACAATTAAATATCAATAAATATTAAAGGCATTTATCTAAAAACTCAAATACTAAAGAAAAAGGACACTCAGTGATAAATCTCACCTGCAAATCCTATCACCCACAATTCACAATAAAACAATCTTTTCACCCACCGCACCTACAACCACTAAACAGTACCTTTTAGAAACGCTAGAATAACAGAATGAATCTATTTAAATTTCAAGTAACCTAAAACATTCGAATTCCATACCATGGGTAATAATCATAAATCAATGCCTTTATTGTGATCTTTTCAAGTGCGGTTCGGAAACGCTGACAACAAAATATCAACAAACAGATGTGCGCTGAAGCATCTTTCTCATAATACCTTTTTCTAATACCAAAACATATCGAGAAACGAATTTTAAGAATATTAAATAGTACATGGACTTACATTAATATGAAAACACCACGATAAAAATGTCATTTACCGGGGAAAACACCAAACAAATTTAAATACGTAACTAATAATGAATGAAAAACAACAAAAAAAATGAATTTACAAGTTAAATTGTAAAATATATATAAGTAAAACGACACCAAAGTCACCAAACATAGAAACAAAAAATTGGACAAGGAGATAAAATGATAGGTTAGAAATACGTCAATCTGGCAGACGTCAAAGTGAAATGCTCGTGCTGTGATGCCAAACTTATTTTCTTCTAGTGCTATTGACTTTTTATTTTTGATCTTTGTACACAATCCTGCTATATATTTCTTAAAACACATC